AATCAGACATTGAAGTTTTTTTAAACACCATTCACAATTACATCTTAAACATGGAATACTTAAGGATCAACTTAACCAAATAAATATGTCCAGAAACTCTATGATAAAAACTATGCCAAGAGATGTTAAAGAAAAGCTAAATAAACATAACAATACATCATGTTCATGGAGTGGAAGCCTCTACTTTTTAGTTGCTGGTTTTTATCAAGTCAATATATACAATCAGTGCAATCCCAAATAAAACCCAGATAGTTCATTTTATAGAAACTGAAAGGCTGATTCTGCATTTTACATGAAAATGCAAACAAACTAGAACAGTCACAGTAATCTGCCAAAGAATAACAAAATTGAAGGACCTACACTACCTGATCTCAGGATTTTCTATAGAAAATATACCAATCAAGAGTAATACTGATGCAAAGACAGAAACTAGATTAAACAAAATGAAAACAGAAGAGAAACAGCTTAACTTCTATGAAAATGTACCCAGAAGAAATTTAAAAAGACTTTTTTTAACAACATTCACAGTGACTTTATTCATAAAGGTTGAAAATGAGAGATAATAAATAACCATAGAGGGAAATAAAATTTTAGGATAATATAACAACAGAATGTTAATCAGTAATGAAAAGAATGAACTAGTTACTGATAACACTAAACCAACATGGAAAACTGCAAAAACACTATGCTGAGCAAAAGAAACTGGAGCAAAGAGTTACATATGGTTCCATTCACACAGAGTTCTCACATTAGTCGCTCAACTGTGTCTGACTCTTTGCGACCCCATGTACAGTAGCTAGCCCACCAGGCTCCTCTGTCCATGGGATTCTCCAGGTAAGAATACTGGAGTAGGCATCCATTCCCTTCTCCAGGGGATCTTTTCAACCCAGGGATTGAACCCAGGTCTCCCACACTGCAGGCAGATTCTTTACCGTCTGAGGGACCAGGGAAGCCCAAAGTTCTCAAGGGACAACATTAATCTATGATTGGCGGTGGGGGTGTGTGTGTGTGTGTGGAGAATCAGAACAATTATTGTGGAGTGGACTGACCAAGAAGAAGACAAACTTTCTAGGATGATGAAAATATTCTATATCCTGATGTATTATGGGTTACATACAAGTTTACGCAGCTGTCAAAATTCTGAATTCTTACTTAGGATCCACATTCCACTTCAAACTTTTTCTCAATTAAAGAAGACTTCTTTCACTCAAAAAAATATATGACTGCCTACCACAGCCCAGTTACTGAGAACACAAAGTTAAAATACAAGTTTCAGAAAAGAGACTTCACGGTCTTGCAAGCAAAGAAATGAAAAGTTAGTTATTATAATGAAAAATTACATAGAGTAAAGTTTTGAGAAGTGAAAAACAGTAGACTGCCAAACAAAGAATATACAGGTATATCCAACATGTACAGAAGTAAGAGAAAAAATCATATTGGACCTGGGCAACTAATGTAATTTCAATGTACTGAAACTACGAAGTGGGCAGTAGGGCTTGCCGGGGCTGGATAAGATAAGAAGAGACCTGATTCAAAGGCTCTTTGAGCTCAAGCAAAAGAGTGCATTTCAGCTTTTTAGGAAAAAGAAACCTCTGAAAAACTTCTGGGAGGAAAATGATAAGTATAAATCTCATTTTTAAAAGATCATTACAGAAATCATCTGAAAAACAGACAGGTAAGGCTCAGGTTACAATCAGTCCAAGAAGAAAGCTATTACCATCAACAGACTACTTTATTCTTTTCAATCTCACATGGAGCATTTGCCAAGGCAAACAACATTTAGGGCCATAAAACACAGAACTTCATAAATGTAAAAGAATAAACAATCATACAATATACACTTTCAGACCATTTAAAACTATAGATCAGTAACAAAAAAATAGCTGAAAAATCCCCAAAACTTGGAGATTAAATAACACACTTCCAAATAACACATGAATCAAAGAACATATCTCGGGAAAAAAAGACAAAATGAACCAAATGAAAATAAAAATACAACTTGTCAAAATTCATGGAACACTGTGAACACAGTGCTTAGAGAGAAATTTGTATCATTGAACACTATGTGTTGAGTGTTGTTTAGTCACAAAGTCATGTCCAACTCTGCAACCCTATGGATTGTAGCCCACCAGGCTCTTCTGTCCGGGGTAGTCTCCAGACAAGAATACTGGAGTGGGTGGCCATGCCCTCCACCAGGGAATCTTCCCAACACAGGGACTGAGCTCGTGCCTGCATTGGCAGGCGGGTCCTCTACCACTAGTGCCACCTGAGAAGCCTTGCCACCTGAGTGGCAAGTTAAATCCAAAATAATATAAGAAAAGATATCATAAAAATTAGAGGAGAAATCAATGAAATTGAAAACTGGAAAACAACAGAAAAAAATCAACAGCTAATTCTCTATAAAATTAGTAAGCTTTTACTAGGGGGAGGTAAAAAGGAGAACTGGTGTTAAGTGGGTACAGAAATTCAGCTTTGCAAAACAAAACAGTTCTAGAGATCTACTGTACAACGAGAGTACAATTAACTGTACAGTGACACCGGATATAATACTATATGCTTAAAAATTGTTAAGACAAAGAGCAGCCTCTGCTCACTGAAACTAGAGAAAGCCCGCACACAGCAAGGAAGGCCCAGTGCAACCAAATGTAAATAAATAAGCAAATGGTGACATACTTAAAAAAAAAAGGCAGCAAGCCTCTTATCAGACTAAGACAAAAAGAAGACATAAATTACTGATATCAGAAATTAAGGTGGGAATATCATTACAGACCTCATGGACACTAAAAGGATAATAAAAGAATACTATGAACAACTCTATGCCCACAAATTTGATAACCTAGATGAATTGAACGAATTCCTCGGCAGACACAATCTGTCAAAACTCACATAAGAAGAAACATATAATCTGAATCTATAACTATTAAACAAACTGAATTACTAACCTTCCAAAAAGGAAAGTACCAGGCCCTACAGATTCACTGGTGAATTCCATCAAACACTCAAGGAAGAAACTGTACCAACTCTCTACAATCTCTTCCGGAAGACCAAAGCAGAGTGAATATTCCTAACTCTTTCTATGAAACCAGGGTTACTCTAACATCAAAACAAAGACACAGTAAGAAAAGAAAACTAAACCTATCTATCTCAGGAATATAGATGTAACAATCCTCAACAGGTACTAGTAAATTGAATTTTTAAAATGTATATAAATAATTATACGCAACAAAGTGGGATTTCCTCCAGGTATGCAAGGCTGATTCAACATTAAAAAATTAATTAATGTAATTCATCACCATCAACAGGTGGAAAAAGGAAAAGCCTACTACAATGGACTAGGTAAAAGTTGGTGAGCACATGTATTAGAACACAACCGTTAAGTAGTTATCCACTCATTCACATCATGTACTAACACCTGGGCCATAATGAAAAATAAGACAAAATTCATGCTCTCAAAGAGCCTACTATCTATTAGAGACAGACTGAACAAGTCCCTACTGCAGGGAGTAAACCTAGACTGGACAGAAGTGGCAGGCTGATGATGATGAAGCACTAATCAGTTTAAAAAAGCAGAGAGGGGTTATGATTAAGGGGAATATTACAAGTAGGATACATGAAGGCCCTAAAGCAAAAGAAAAAGCACAGTGTATTAGAAGTACTGAAAGAATCCAGGTTTAATATCACATAAAGAATAGAAGATTTTATGACAGTTGTAGTTCTGCTGATCTTCAGGTAAAAATAAAGACACAAGAAGGCAAAAAAAACCACCCAGCTTCTCAGACTCCCTGCCTGCATCAGCACCACGCTCAGGAAGGCCCTGCTCCGCTGCCTGGTCTGCCTGGCTGTGACTCATCCCACGCTACTCCCAGAACTCACCACGGACCTGCAGTCAGCCAGCCACTGAACCGCTAGACTTGATCAGTGACCAAAATACAGAAACAATCACTGACTTGTACTTAAAGAGCACACAGACTTTTGCATTGCTTACTGATGTGGAATTAAATACCCTCAGTACTGAGAAAGAAGTCACTGAGGCCAGAGCTGATTACAATTCACTTCACAGAGATAATTTTTAGAGTGAAGATTATAAAGAGGTCATTGCAGGTTGTTCCAAAGAGCCTGTGACTGAAGCACCAAATGAGCCCTGAACCTTCAGGGGAAGCAACAAGTCCAGCTCACTGTTTTGGTTTGTTTTTCTATTGTTGTTCTTTTTTTTTTTTTTCCAGAAAATGTAGCAATTCTCCATCAGCTGTGACCATTACTCTGCTAAGTACAACTTTTTAAAAAGATTGTAAGTCTCTGAACAAGCCTACCATTCCATTATAGAAGCCTGAATAACTACAAAGACTGTGAGACATAACATGTATCCACTTGGGGATAAGCAGAAACTGTACACAGAAGAAGGGCATCTCATAATATCTTAAGCATGTCCCACTTAATGTGGGCTCAATAAATGCTCATTTGAATTGAAAAAAATTTATGGCTATCTACAAAAGAGTATCTTAGGTGATGACCTGTGACATCGAGGTTAAACAGGAAAGACTGAAAGGGTGAAATACTTTTTAAAGATAATGAAAAAATAAAAGGCAGGAATTGCCAACAGTTACAAAATTTGAAGGAAAAATTCTCAAGTATATGATCTTTTTCTAGCTATGCTCCAGATTCAATCCTTATACTTTTTTTTCTTCCAATTATTCTATTCTTTAAGGAGAAAATTAAAACAAACTATCTTTTAAAATTAAGCACTTAAAATTTAATACACAGTAATCCTGACAAACATTATCCAAAAAAATATGTTTCTAAAATGTATATAATACAAAAACCTAATTTCGCCTTTTCAATCATGATTTTTATCAATATTTGGTACATCTATTTTAGAACACACATTTGAACTATTTATATTCAGATTTTAAACATTTTTTGAGATTTCTTCAATGACTGTATCACTTAACAGAAAATTATGTTTCTAACTAAGTTTAATATCTTATAAAGGAATTACTTACAGGGACATTAAGTGCATACTGTAGTCCTTGAGGAAGTCTTTCATGTGTTTCCATCTGCTCTTCATCATTTTTCACTGTCTCCTCATGAACCATGAGTTCATCATGTGGTATCATATCCTGTTGTCTCATTTCACTTTCTTGTAACACTTCATCTGCACCAAGGATCTCCTGGTGAGGCATACTCCGATCTTGAAGCACCGATTCCTGCAGTTCCCCAGACACGGTAGACTGGCCAGACACTCCACCCATTACAACCATTGCCCTGGAAGACTGCATTTCGTCTATGCCGCCACATTTAAGAAATAATCCTTCCAGTTTGTCGTCAATGTTCATGCTTAAGTATAACTGCCTAGAAAGACCAAGTTTGGCAACAAAGCATAATAAATTAGTTTTATATGTCTACTTGAATTTTTTTAATTTCAAATTATCCATACTTCAATAAAAGCTTTCCATACTTCAGTATGGAAAGGTATCCATACTTCAATAAAAGTTTTATTCACTTAATTCAATATTGCCTCCAATTTAAAAATTACCAATAAATTTCCAAAAGCTAGTAGAATAAAACGCAAATTTTTATTTCTGACATTAAGGCACTAATCTATTTCATTATGAAAAATGAGCATGAAGTAAAGCAAACTGGGAGAAAGTATTTGTAACATCAGATGGCTCCATATCCTTTAATATATTAAAACATCTTAAAAATTAAAATAAGAAATAACATTAAGAAATAAACAGAGAATACTATCAGGTAAATCATAAAGAAAAATCAGAAACAGTCACTAAATATATAAAATAGTAGTCACAACAGTATCAAAGAAATGAACATTAAAACCGTATTTTATCCACCAAGTTGATAACAACTCTTAAAAAATAAATCCAACGTTGAGCTCACAGGGAAAAAAATCTACTGACAGTGGGAGTACTTTAGTTCAACTATTTCCAAAGGTAATTTGATACACTGTATCAAAACCCATAAAAATACACATATTCTTTGAACTGGTGATAATACATTTAGGAAACCACCCTGATGAAATCAGGAAAGCATAGAAAGATATGCATGAAAAATCTCTATGGCAGTACTTTAATACTGAAAAACTGGAATTACACTAAGTATTCAACAAATAGAAACGGTTAAATTATATTCATACATGCATTTTAAAACTAAAGTAATGGTTGCCCCATTCAATTTGCTAAAAATTATTGAATTGTACTCTTAGAATGGGCAAATTTTATTCTATATAAATTATATCTCAAAGTTTTTCTTAAAAATAGAATCAGAAAAATGGCTACCCTTGTATGAGGAGACTGCTGATAGGAGGTAGGAAAAGTGGGGTATCTGGGAGCAGACAACATTTTTTCTTGAGTTGAATGCTGGCTATACAGGTGTGCCCACTTTGTAAAATTTTAAGATGTGTATCTGTGATATGCACACATTTCTGTCAGTTATCATACTTCAATAAAAAGTTAAGTCTGTTGGAATTTAAAAAAATACAGTCAAAAAATATTGAAAATATTTTAAAATTTTGGGAAACAGCCCAATATAATAAGGGAAATGTGTATGTAACTATGTGTCTGAAAATACACAGCTTTACTGAAAATGCTAACATTAAGATTACCAATGAGTAGTGAAATTACTATTTTCATACTTATATTTCTAATTTGAACTTTCTATAACGCAATTTTATTTCTTTTAAATGCTTTAAATTTGTTAAAATGTAAAAAGTATTTTCATTACTAATATATTCTTAAACAGTTGCCCATGATTAAATTTAAGAGGTCATAAGAATCAGACACTACTAAATAATTTTATTATCTTTTTTCCCCATTATTATAGGAAAAATAGGCAATATTAAGCTTGCTCTTCTAACTTTGGTTACAATAAATTCTTACTCCATTGTGTTACTCAAGGAACTAGCAAAACAATAATCTTGAAATCCAAAGAAATTTTACCTCAGACTGTCATGGCACAGGTATGGTTTGTTTCTTACCAGGTTGTATAAAATAAACACACACACTCACCCACCATGAAAGGACTACAATTAGTAAATGTATTAAGTATAAATCAATGAGGTAGTAGTGGTTACTACTTTAATCAGAGCTTTTAAATGTTAAATTTAAATACACTACTGAAATCTAAAATAATCTTTCATTTACTAACATCATCTAGGGAGAAAACTTTATTTAAATGTATAGCTCAAAAAATGGGGTTTTCCAGGTGGCTCAGTGGTAAAGAATCTGTTTGCTAAGCAGGAGACTCGGATTCAGTCCCTGGGTCAAGAAGATCCTCTGGAGAAGGAAACAGCAGCCCACTCCAAAATTCTTGCCTGGGAAATCCTATGAACAGAGGAGCCAGGTGGGCTACAGTCCATGGGGTCGCAAAAGAGTCAGACACGACTTAGCAACTCAACAAAAACACAACAGCTTAAAAACAGTAAACATAAACAGTAACGTAAACAAAAGAAAAATGTAATTCATACTTGCTGTGTCTTCCCTGGTACCAGGTAGTATAAAAAATCCAGAAGACATACTGGACAAAGGAAAAAGAATTTAATTTCCCTCTTTGAAGTATTTTAGTAGTCTAAATGACAAATATTTAAAATACATCACCAAATAACTATCCTCTTCAAATACTATATTTTTCATATTTCTTAGAGAATAAACTATCCTACAACTAACAAACTTAAGTCTCCTAGGGTTAAAATTTGCTTATTTCTTTGGAAATCCTTACCAAATCAATTATATACTTCTAATCTATTTACTGTTTTCCTAAAGGACTCAAAAGGGACCAATATATGCACAAAGCCACCCTTTACTGCTGTGACATCTGCTATTGCCACATACATCATTATTAAAAAGAAAAAAAAACACCCTTGGGAGCTTTTAAAGAATATGGGAGAAGTAAAAAGAAGTAATTATTAAAAGCAGACATTAATAAAAGATATTAAACAAACTAACCTAGGACAGACTTTTTTTTTTCTTAAAGATTACCAAAAGTTAAAGCCGACTTACTAACCCACTGCAAGGTCTACATTTCCCTAAGGCAGTGGTCCTCATCTCCAATGTTTTTTATAATGTACTTCATCAATTTTTTAAAATTTAGCATATCCTAATATCCGGTGGTGGTGGTTTAATTGCTAAATCGTGTCTGACTCTTGCAACCCCATGGACTAGCCCACCAGGTTCCTCTGTCCATGGAATTCTCCAGGCAAGAATACTGGAGTGGCTTGCCATTTCCTTCAATTTCCATCCCATTTCCAAGGGATGTTCCCAACCCAGGAATCAAACCCAGGTCTCCCGCATTGCAGGCAGATCCTTTACCAACTGAGCTATGAGGGAAGCCCTATCCTAATAAATGCATAATGCTTATAATTACACTCCTATAACAGTGTGTTAACATTTAATAAACTTAGTAAAACAAACTTTATGTTTTTATAATTTTTTAATATGTTTTCTAATTTTTATAATTTAATTTTTAAAAAACTAATCTTATCCCTAACATCAGGTTGGAACAGTAAGTATTGAGGAAGTCAAAATACTTTGGAGGTAGAGAATATTTGGGGGAAGAAAGGTAAGTATGCAAAAAAAGAAAGTGCCAGAATGAGGCATCTGAAACAGGAAGATACCACAACTCAATAAGAAAGTAGTAAATGGAGTGGGAAGTAGAAACACTGTAAATAAAGGGCAAACTTGACTTCTATGAAAATTTTCTTGAAAACAGTCCATATAGACAGAAAAAGGAATCGATCTTCCTTTTTCACATTTGGTTTCTTATTCCTCTAACCCCAAATTAACCTATAATATTTCAAGTTACTGGCTAGCCTAGAAACTGTTTCTGAGACAATTTCCCTGAAATACCAGAAAATATTAAGATATCAACACAGACTTCAATATCAAGGAACACTGCTCTCACAGTTTTAAAGTTAGCTTTGAAAATATCTACCAAAATGAAAACTGTTGACCACTGTGACACAGCACTCTGCTAGGAGTATATATAATCCTATATATGTGCTTAGTCATAAAAATTAACCAAAGATTTATGTACAGGATGTGACATTTTAATGGAAAAAGATTGGAAACGGCCTAAGCATCCTCTAACAGAAAACTTGTTTAACTATGATTCAGCCGCACAGTGGAATACACATTAGCCAGTAAAATGAATGTGGCAGCCATGTGTGCTGGGTAAAAAGTTCTCCAAGATACATGGGGGGAAAAAATCAAGAAGATATACAGACAAATAAGTGAGCCATACTTGTATCACATATCTCAACCAGAGATATGGGGCAGAGAAACCTGGACAGGAAATAAACAAGGCTCTCAAACAAAGTTAATTTCACTAAGCCTATGGTAAAAGGGAAAAGGACAAAGTTACCCTAAGAAAAATGATCAGGAAAAGTATGTTTTTTACTGTCCTTGAAGCTCTCACCAATCTTAAATTTCTCCCTTACACCTCCTATATGACCTCAGTCAAAGCTCCCATGTGCTTCACTTCACTGCACATTCAAAAACCCAAACCTTGCAAAAGACTCTATGCATGCTTAAAAGTTAACACAGGCTCTAATTTCAGTATTTTCAGGAAGATTCAGTCAAATATAAAGAAATGAAACTGATGTTATCAATCCACACTAAGATGTGAGTATTTAAGTGTCTCTGCTAAATCTTCAAAAAGCCAACTGTTTTTTGACCCACATGTCAATATAATTAATGGAATATTACACAGCAGAGAGAAAGAAAGAATGCTTAAGTCACGTCTCTTACATGAAAGGCTGCTCTGGAAGAAAAAAAGAAATAACTAATCTACATTCCCAGGAGCCTCTGTCAAACAGGGGGAAAGAACGACTAGATGGAGTAATAAGCTCTAAGCCACCCTGAGCTCCTTATAATGATCCATTATTTTGTATGTGAAGGAAGTTTGGGTAGCTGACAAAGAATATAAAATCGCAGAGCTATTAAGATCCGAGAGAGGATGGACAATGATGTTCTAGAAATAACTCAGCTAAAGGTGAAATGGCACTCCTTCTAGAGTTACCCAGAACACTAAAAATCAGAACTTAGGAAGACAGAAGGAAGGAAGGGGCCCACCTCGGGCAATTTCTCCCTCCAACAGATTACTTCAAACTCTGCATTCTTTTCCTCCTTCCAAATTTAATTCTTCCGTCTCTATCCCTCTGCCAGAGAAGTTAGAAGGTATACAGAATATCAGGGATATTGAGAGGATCACAATTCAGCTTTCTGTTCCATTCAATACCCTCTCTCCCACACACACCCTCACTATCCTTCAGTATTGAAAAATGTTTGGTTCAGTTGTATAAAATTAACCCAAATTGCAGTCAATGAAGTAATCCTAGTCATGTAAGCCTAACAGCAGTGCAGTACTTAAAAAGAGAATATAAATTATAAGCCATCACTTTCTCCAGTCTTCCAGAAGAGACAGTTGACCCTTCTTGTCACCTTCTAATTTAATGCTTCTTTCTAATCAACTGTGTGCAAGCAATTAGAAACTAAGCTTTATATTAATAGATTTGTATAAGTTGAAATAGAGTAAATAAGCTTTGAGTTAGGGCTTTTAATAAGGAGTCAAACACATGGGCTTTAATATAAGCATTTGAGACAAGTATTTTCTCAGTCTGGGCTTGTTTTCAGAGGACAAAGTTAACAGAAGCATAGTATATGAACAAGTTGGGCCTTATTACTCATTTTTAATCAACTATACAAGGCACTTAAAATGCTTACTCAGCTTTTTATGGGAATTCTATGCAATGAATGAAGAAAATGTCTCTCCAAATTTATTAATAGGTTTGAGGCTATATTACAAAATTCAAAGATTAGCATAACCTGGAGAAGAAAAAAAACTAACATGTGCTGAGGATCTACTGTAAGTAAGACAGTATGCTAGGCACACCAGTGTGTTACTTCACTTGATGTTTACAGTAACACTCAAGACAGTAACAGTATATGCCCATTTAACAGATGCAGAAACTGGAGTTCACCCAAAGTTGCACAGCTAGGAGGTAAACTGGGATCTGAAGACAAACTTACTTGGTTTAATGCACACTTTACCATACCATAATACCTCCTGTCTTGAAAAGATCCTGGACACTAAGAGCTCGCTGAACTCATTCTCTTCTCACTGACCCACTGAGGCCACCCTGTCACCACTGCTTGGCTTGATAAAGCAATCCAACTCCCCATAGTTGGCTACTCCCATCTCCTGGCTGCCATGGGAGAATTCTGTGTGACACAGAATCCCTTTTCTCCTTGACCAGGGATGGACACTTTCCACAATTCCCATTTTCCACTTCTGCCTCAGTGCGTTTCTCCTTCATTCCTTTTTCATGGATCTATACACCCTCTTAATCCTTCCACTCTTTCTTCAAACCTTTACCAAGTTATTTTAGGAAAATCTCTCCTTCTCTCTTTCCTTTACTTTCCCATTTTCACTCAGAAATTTTAAAAATAATCCTAAATATGGCTGATAAATGCAGACGCTATGCCAAAGATACACCTATATCAAGGAAAAAAGGGCTATAAGTTTTAAACTCAAAACAGATTTGAAGACTTGTACAATAATCTTCTCAAATTCTTGAAAGCATCTAATTTCTCCTTCAGAATACAGGTGAATATTCATCTGCCATTTTATCACCTTTAATTAAATCTGTACTCAACCATGAAAGAAATATTTCTCACTTAAGATATTGCTTTTCTGTTTCTTTTTGGCTATAATATTATTTTCTAACAACATTTACTGAATAATATAAAACATTAAATGAGTCAAAACAGATTATAGTGGGCAAACCTAAACATCTTTCTTTTCTCTAAAAAAAAAAAAAAGAGTAATTTCCAACTCAAAATATTCTCCCATATTAAAAATACCCTGCTTTGTACCAGAACCCAATCACTCATAGGCAAAACAGAAATACTTAAAGGAATCTGAAACAGATTTTTAAAACAAAGCTAGATTTCACAAATTACTTCTGATTCAAAGAATTATTCAACAAACTCATCTGAAGGATGCCAGTGACATTAATTTGGATAGTAATATTTCTACCCTATTAGGATTCAGTAAGAAATTATGCCTTATAAACATCAGCATTACAAATATCAATCAACCTTAAGATCAAATTGGTACTACAAAGCAACAAAGAAACCCTTGATAAAAACGGATTTAACAATCTGCCATTTGTCACTCCTAAGTTTTCTATTCTTTCTCATCCTTCAAAATGTTGATCTAAGCAAAAACTGCTTCATCTCTAATTTAAAAACAAGATCTACCTCTTATCTAGGGATATTTTACCTCCAGAAACCCCTTCAGATATACCTTTGTATAACTACCATCTTGTATCTACAAAGTTTATCTTGTAAACTATGCCCTGATTTTTACATTGATACTATTTGAAACATCCTAATAGGAGGATCATTTATAATAATCACAACTAAACAAAATGGCCTTTCTTATTAGTGCCAGTGACAATAAAAGATGTTTACTAAAAGAATTTACAGAATAAGATAAATCACCTTACACAACATGACAACTAAATAAAAACCTGTGATCATTTCCCAACCACAGAAAATTTATAAATATTTAAGCCAAAATTAACAGGCATCTCCATGTATCTGATGCCCTGCTCAAATAAAGCAAAATCTAAGCATATTCTCCATTCCAAATACTTGTCACCAGTCTTCTAATACAACATAACAATAAGAAATTAGTGCTATTTGCAAATACCAAACATCAAACTTAGGTCAACTGTGGGTTGAGAAACAGCGACCTTTAAAAGGGAGAGGGAAAGGGTAAAAACAAACCCAACAAAACAGAACCCTACACTCTGCTAAATCTAGCTGTTTCATTCATCTCACTTTATGCCAATACCAAAAATTCAAACATTAATATTAAAAAAAATTAATCTTGAAGAAACTGTAAAATTTTGAGCCTTGTACATTAAAAGGAATATAAAAAATACTTCCTCAACTTCCCTGTACACGTTTACCTAGTCCAAACACTGAACATCTAAGTGATTTTTAACATGTACTACATAATAACAAAGACTCATTCCAGAGCAGAGAAGTGTTAATTATTCAAATCAACATTTTTTTAAACACTGGACAAATGTTACCACTTATCAGTACAAACCCTATTTGTGAAGTACAATAAAACTAAAAATGTATTCATCACCTTCAATGCCAAAAACACCTACAATGTCTTACAACCATTTACTAAAAGCTAGATCAATAGGCCTGATATAAATACAAGTATACTAATTTATCAAAACTGTTATCTTAAGTCTCAAAAAAAGGTAACACGGTTAATACATGTTGATGCTGACATAAAATAGGATGGAAAACTGACAACTAATTTCCAAGCCTTTAATAAATTCTCTTACAGAAGCATACAATATTTGATACTTGTTTCAAAATAAAATATTTAAACAGGATAAGAATCACAAAATGTAATCAATGTAATAACTTTTCATCTAAAAAAACAAGTATATAATGTCTCTGGCAATAAGTTGTTCTAATGAGATCTGAACATTTAAAATAACAAATTTTTTACAGTTAGAAGGAACCAGTTACACATCATTTAGCTTTATGTGTAGCTAAAAGATCACCTCACCCGAGGCTCTCATCCTTGCCTTAAGAGTCTAAAAACATTAAATAGATCACATCAATCTAATGGCAGTGAAACAAAATGAGGAATTATTTCAAGTCAATTTTAACTTTCAAGACCTTATTCCATCTTATGATATCAAAATTAGCAGTATTTAATCAAAGAACTATGAGGACTATTCACAAAACTAAAACTGCCTCAAAACTCAAGAACAACTTCCACAGTATCACTGGCCAAGAGTTAATACGTCTTAGATAATAAAAATTATATTTTAATTTTAGAGCAACTAGATAAATAGAAAGTAAATCTGACAAATCTTAACATAAGAGAAAACTAGTTGACCCCTAGATGCTGTTTTCTCCTTCTAGCCCAAAAATAAAACATTAAGTGAGACACATATGACCTAGGTAAGACTCGTTTTCCAGCCTTCCTTGCAGCTGGCTGTGGTCATGTGACAGTTACAGCCAATGGGATATGATTAGTAATGATAAACATAACTCTCTTAAAGGGAAAAGGAATGTTCTTCCCTTTTCCTTCTTTCTATTGGCAGGCATGATGGTACCCTCTTGGACCACAAGATAGAAGGCACACATTAAGGACACCAAAGCAAGACAAAGACATAATGATTCTGGAGCTTCCACACAATACTGAATTTGTTTATATGGACTTTTCAAATAAATATAAATATATTTCTACCATTTTAAGCACCTGTTAGAGTTGACAAGTCTAAATTTTAACCAATATACTTAATACAAATGATTATTAAATTATCTACATGATTGCTTCCTTATATTGGCATAAACAAACATACAATATGAAAGAATGTACAGTAACTGGTACGTTTTTTCACATCTAAAAAATTGTATGCCAAACACCATTAAATTTGATTAACAGGTCTAATTTTCCAACATATGAAAATAGTTTTCCTGGAAATTCTGGAAAACTTAATGTGGGTGTGTATGTGTTGATGACAGGTGGGTGAAAAATGCAAAATAGCCTGCTGAGAAAAAGGGTTAAAGAAGGAAACACCTTCCCACTTAAATTTCATCTAAGATTACATAATAAGCTACACGTATCTTCCTGTGTTAAACTTAAAACCAAAAACTATATCTTTATTCATCAATTTTCTCTTAGTACTACTTTCTCAAAAAAAAAATTAAATCCCAAGTTTCTTCCAGATATAAACACAACATAAAGAAACTATTACACAAACTCAACATGAAAATCCAGCAGTCAAAAAAAAAAAGTTTTATATTAGAAAATTTTACTTATTCATGATTATGAAAAGTTAAGTACTGAAGTTACCTGAGACTAATGTAAAAATGAAGACTTCAAGGAAGCAAATGCTGTAGAGTTGAAAAAGAAATCATGGTTGAGTTTCTACCTTTCATAGACTTGAGAAACCCTCAGTACCACCTCAATTGCTTATGCCATCCAACTCCTACAAAAAAAAAACAAACAACAAACAAAAACATTACTTACGGAGAGAAAAAATACTGTACAAATACAACATGGACAAACTCACATGCATAATGAAGTGATCACTCTTTGTAAATAGTAAACTATGTCTGAATAAACAGTGCAATGACTTGTTTTTAAATCTGAAACTGGGAAAATGTAACAGTGATGAGGACTAACTGTGAAATAATCCTGGCCTTGTAAAGAATAATTTGCATAGATCTGGGATGAACAACTTCAGAGACATGGGGTATTGAAGAAAATTCAGAAAGTTACATACCTAAACATTTACAAAAGAGAAAATAAATGATTAAAAAAATCACTTCATAACACTATATCTGCTTTGTAAAGGCTACGAAGTAAAAAGAGAAGCAAATAAAATCTTAGGCCTTACAAAAAACAAATAGAACTAGTCCTACACAGAGTGCATATGTATTTACAATAGAAAACAATTAAGAGTTGTAAAATCATGAAATAACCTACAGAAATACAATCAGCAAGGTCATCTGAGAAGAAAAGCTGACAGAAGATGAGAATAATTATAGGAAGATTGCATACCATACCCCTCAAAAATAAAAATGAAGATCATAAGCTATACACAAGAAGAAAACTTCCTATCAGTGAATATTTCTCAGCATAGACTAAATACACTAAAGAGTTTATGGAGTTTCCTACCATAGAGGTCTTTAAAAACATTACATCCTATGTGATAAAGAATAGTTTGTATTTACTCCTCCACAGGAAGCTCTGAGACCAGATAGTATATGATACATCCTATAATTTTAGATCAGTTTCTATAGTGGTGCAAAGGCAAGAAGAAGAGTCTTTCTCACCTAAAACATACCAATAATAAATCCATCTTTGTACTTCAGAAAAAGGGAAAGTGTTAGCCGCTTGGTCATGTCTGACTCTGCGATCCCATGGACTCTAGCCTGCTAGGCTCCTTTATCCATGGAATTCTCCAGGCAAGAATACTGGAGTGGGTTGCCATTTCCTCCTCCAGGGATCTTCTCAACCCAGGGACCAAACCCAGGTTTCCTGAACTATAGGCAGATTCTTTACCATCTGAGCTATCAGGGAAGCATACTTAAGAAAGTATAACATTAATTCACTTTTTAAAACATTTCAACACTGTATCCATATTTTTTTTTAAAGTTTAAATTCTGATGGAGCTATTTACCTCTCAGTACCCTTTCATTTCAGAATTTTCCTGGATATTCACTCATGCATGTCTATTTTAGCAGATAAACTTTTATTCAAAATAAAAAAATTTCAGTAGGATTATATTAGATATTAATAATACCAAAATGACAACAGTAACAATAACCTGGGCAGGGAGGGATGGGGGAGTCACAATCTGAAATTACTCCAATATGTTAGTTATCTAAAATCTCCAGTTTTCAACAACAGATTATAAGATGAGGAAGGAAGACAGGAAAGGAGAGGAGAGGAGAGAGGGAGAAAGGAAAGGAGAGGAGGGAGAGAGAAAGGAAGGAAGGAAAGGAGGGAAGAAAAATGCGACCTACATTAATAAAAAATAGCAACTGCTACAAACGGTTTCTGAGTATCCCCAGATGTTGGTTTAAGCAAAGATTTGAAAATATCCATTATAAACGTGTTAAAAACTAACAGACCCTATCTGTAGTGTTTAATTATGAAAACAACCAACAAATAAAAAAATTTGTGAGGGTACAGCATTTATGTAAAAGAACCACATGGAAAGTCTGAAGCCGAAAAGTACAATAACTAAAACAAAAACTTCACTACATGATTCAAGACGGCAGAAGAAAATCTATAACCTTAAAAATACATCAGTAGAAAATATCTAATCTGAAGGACAGTGAAGAAAAAAAGGTTGACTAAAACTGAACAGAGCCTCAGCAACCAACTTACCAACATTTCTGGAGTTCCAAAGGAGAGGAGAGTAAGGGCAGGAAATAAGGTTTTTTTAAATAAAACATCAACCAAAAACTTCCCAAATTAGATTTTTCAGTAGAAATCACATCTATAGGTCTTGGAAGTTCAATGAATCTCATGGAGAATAATTACAAAGACACACACCTAGACACATCATAGTCAAAATTGTTAAGAACACAAGGAGAAAAATCATGCAAGCATAAAGAGAAAAATTACTCAGCATAGCAGAGAATCATCAACACAATTAACAGCTTTCCTTTTTTTTTTTTTGCCTTTAACAATAATATTGTATTATAAAAACACTTTACAACTCCATCCCATCTTTGACTACAAGTTACTAGAGATGTGGGCTAATGATTATCTGAAAGCATTTCTTTAGTTCAGACCCATAATCTAAGTGCTCTCTGAATACTATAAGGTGATAGTAAGGTTAAGGGCTTTATTGCAATGAGGGGATGAGGAAGTATGAAGATATTTTTGCTGTCTTTTCATCCTTATACTGTGTTAAGTAATGCTTACAACATAAATTCAGCAGGCTTTTCCTGAGCTATAACTCAGAAATTTACTAACAGCTGACTTTCAATCAGCAACAACAGAGGCCAGAAGACAGAGGAATCACATTCTGAAAGTGCTAAAAGAAACAAACCTGTCAACCAAGGCGACAACAAAACTACCCTTCAAGATAAAGGCATAATAAACACTGTCTCAGATGAACAAAGGCTGAGAGAATTTTTTGCAGACCTGCCATACAAGAAATACTAAAAGAAGTCCATTGGGTTGAAAGGAAATGACACCACACTTAAAATACACAGGAAGAAAAGAACACCAGAAATGGTAAATATGTGGGTTAAACTAAAAGACTAAAAATACGTTCTTCTCATTTCTTCTCTTAACATCTTTAAAAGACATGAGTATATATAAAGCAATACTTTTAACACAATATTGCCAGGTTTATAGCATATATGGATGCTATATATATTGCAATAGTGGCACAATAGAGGAAGGAGAAAATGGAGCTATACTGAGCAAAGTTTCTATATTTAACTGATACTGACTTAGTGTCACTGTTAAATAAGTCTATTTAATGTTAACATTAACATTAAATAAGTCTATTAATGTTAAAGTGTATAATGTAAACATCATAGCAACCACAAAGAAAATATCTTAAATTGTATTTAGAAAAAACACCAACACAATAACTAATATGGCATACTAAAAAACATTTAACACAAAAGGCAGTAAGGAAACACTGAGAAACAAAACCCATGAGATATACATAGAGCAAATGGCAAATGTAAATCCAATCAAGTCCATCATTAAATACGAATGTCTGAACAGCCCAATGGAAAGGCAGAGACTGTCAGACTGGACAAAAAAACACAAGATTCAACCATGTGCTGCCAGCAAGAGACATACTTTAAATTCAAGACTGAAAGTAAAAAGATGGGGAACAAGGACAGACACACACCCCCCACACACACCCACACACACACCCCTACACACACCCACCCCCCACACACACCCCACATACACCCACCCACCCACACACAACCCCCAGACACACACATACCCACCCATACACACACCCCACACACACACACCCATACACATACCCCTCCACACACATACCCCCCATATACCCCACATACACCCCCCCCAACACACACACACCACATACACCCACCCACACACACACTCCCCCACACACACACCCCCACATATACACACACCCCCCACATACACCCACCCACACACATACCCCCCCACACACACACACCCCACTTCCACCTCCATGGAAAGAGTAACTATAAGACAGGTGGAGTGGTTACATTAGAATTAGACAAAAGGGACTTTAAGACAAATACTAAAGATGAAGAAAGATATCTCTTTCTAATGATAGTCAATAAATCAGGAAAGTATAACAATTATAAACCCTAAAATAATGAAACAATAACACTATTAAAAAGAAAACAGAAAATTCAACAAATTATCACTGGAGATTTCAATACTGCACTCTAAATAATTGATAGACTAAATAAACAGCAAATTAACAAAGATACAGAAAACCTGAAAACAGAAAAACACTCTCAATCAACTAGACCTACCTGGCATGAAAACAGAAAAACACTCTCAATCAACTGGACCTAGCTGCCATGTATACAAAACTCCAACAAACAACATAAAACAGATTGTTTCCAAGCACACACTCTCCAGGACACATCAAATGCTAGACCATTAAACAAGCCTTAAAAATGTAAAAGGACTGAAATCATACCAAGTATGTTCTCCAACCATAACAAAATTTAAGTAGATATCAACTAAATTAGAATTAGGTAGCTATCAACTGGAAAATTTTCAAGTGTTTGAAAATTAAACTTCACAATTCTGAATAGTACATACCTCAAATAAGAAACGAAAAGAGATGTTAGAGAATATTTTCAACTGAATGAATAAAACAAACATAACAAAATTAATGGGATGCAGCTAAAGCAGCACTGAGAAGGAATAATATACTTTAATATATTTGAAAAAGTGGAATCTCAAATCAGTAACATGAGCCTCCATTTCAATAAACCAGAAAAAGAGCAAACTAAACCCTAAAGCAAGCTGAAAAAAATATTCAAAATTTAAAAAAAAAAAAATTCAAAATTTAGAGCAGAAACACACAACAGAAAAATAGAGAAAAACTTGGTTCTTTTAAAAAGACTCAAAAAATTTACAAACTTTTATGAAAACTGACCAACAGCAAAGAGAAAAAAAAATAACGGGACACACACACACACACACACACACACACACATGGCTGATTCATGCTGTCATGTGGAAGAAACCAACACAACACTGTAAAGCAATTATCCTTCAATTAAAAACAAATTTTAAAAACAAAGAAAAAATACAAGCTACCAAAATTAGAAATGAAAGAAGGGATATTAACATTGACCTCGCAAAAATTTAAAGAATTATAAGGGAAGGAATACTATAAACAAATAAATGCCAAGAAATTAAACAACTTTTATAAAACTTCTTAAAAGACACATATTACTGACACATTAACTAAAGAGGAAACAGAAAAACCTGAACAAACAGACTTAGTATTTAAAAATCCTCCCAAAAAGAAATGGCTTCGCTGATGAATTCCATCAAATATTTAAGGAGGAAATACCAATCCTTCATAAACTCCTTCATGAAACAAAGGAAGAGGGTACATCTTCCAACTCAATCTCTAAGGCTAGAGTTTCTTTGATATAAAGATATCAGATGAAAACTATACTCCAATGTCTCTCATCAACAGATACAACATGCTTACAAGGTATTAGCAGACTGAATCTAGCAACAGATTAAAAAAAAAGGCCTATACACCAAGACCAAGTAATATTTATCCCATGAAAGCAAAGCTAGTTCAACACCTGAAAATCAATTAATATAATACACCATATTAAAAGGACAAAGGACAAAAGCTACATGGCTATCTCAATAAACATAAAAGAAAGCATTTGACAAAATTCAACATTTACTCATGACCAAAAAAATCTAAACAAAGACTAGAAGAAAACTTCCTCAAACTGATAAAAGGTATCTACAAAAAACCTAACATCATGTTTAATGGTTAAACACTGAATGCTATCCTCCTAAAAACAAGAATGTACATTTTCACCACTTCTATTCAACACTGTACTAAAGGTTCTAACTAGTAAAACAAAGAAGGCAAAATCAACAACCAATTAAGCAAAGGCATCCAGATTAGAAAACAAGAAATAAACCTCTAGTGATGTGATTTCATATGTAGAAATTTCCTAATAAATCCACAAAAAAGTTACAAGGACTAATAATAATAAGCAGTTCAGCAAGGCCACAAGAGATTAGATCAATAAAGAAAAATCAATTCTATTTCTATAGTGAAATGACAACTTTCTATCATATCTATCAAAAATTTGAATTAATCATATTTTCTTTCCTATCCCTCAGTAGTTTAAACTTTTTTTTTCAAGTTAGATTTATCCCAGGCATTTTATCTTATTAGTTGTTATTGTGAACATATACCTCTTCAATAGTCCTAATCCTATTATTTCTAATAAAAAATCATTTATGTAAAATTGAGTTTATAAGCAGTTCCTTTACAGAATTCTCAGAACTATCAGCACAAAAAACAGGCAGGCAGATGAACTGAACAGAAATGATTTCAGAAACAGACTCTGCCTTTCCAAAAAACATGGAAATTCAGTATATGATAAATGTGGCATTTCAAATATGTAGAAAAGAAACGCATCATTCAATAACTGGAATGAGTACAAATGGTTAGCCATCTGGAAAACAGTAAAGCTGATCTCTCCATTTTCTGCTTATACCAAAAATATTCAATATAAATCAAAAAGATTTTAAACAATTTAAACCATAAAAAATAGAAAACCCATACAATTTTTCAAGTTCACTGAATCTAAAACTACCAATCCTAAGAAACACAACTATTTTTTGTTACTAAGAAAAAACAATGCCAAACTATGACAAGACAGAAATTCATGTCTTTCAGAGATGTTACGATATGGAAGGAAAAATGTGTCCTACAACCAGTGGTAAAGACCTCTTAAACCTTACACAGGAAACCGTCTCCCTCACCCTTGACCATGAATAAAAAGATCACTAAATTCAATCATACAAAATTAAAACTTCTACAAGGCAAAAGCAAAATCAAAAGATAAGCAAAAACTGAGTAAAAACAATCTTCTTAACAAACGACCAAAAAGATTACTGAAAATATACATATGGCCAATAACAATAGGGAAAAAATGCTGAAACTCATAATGAAATTTTGAAAAACAATACTAACAAAAACCTGACAAATATTAAAAAGTTTGACACTAGCTAGTATCATCAGAGATAAAGAGATTCCCATTTTCCAGACTACTGATGTTGGGACAACCTTTTTAGTTAGGCAATTCAACCACAAATTATTCAACATACACACTTTTTGACCCAACAATTTTTTCCTTAGGAATTTACACTGCAAATGTATTTTTAAATATGTGCAAAAATGTATCCAAGAATATTCACTATATTCCCATTAATACTACAAAAAAAACTATATATTCATAAATAGGAGGCTAGTTAAAATAATTTGGTCAATCAACATATTGGAATATTACATAGAATGAAATGAGAAGGAATTATATGCAAAGGTACAGAAATTAACAACAAAAAAGGTATTCTGCTAAACAATATGTATGTTGTGATTTCATTTTATAAAGATGTGTAAATATATGTATACAAATAAATGCATGCATACATATGGAAAATATATGGAATGATACATACACACACACAAATGTTAACAGTGAGTAAGGATGAGGAGAGCCTTTGAAAATTTTTTTTTTATAACATTCTCTACAGCTTAAGTGTCTATTCCTCTTATAATAAACCTAAGTAAGGAGTAAAAAATGTTAAATGAAATCTTAAAATATGACCACTAAAACTGCTAATATTTTCACATCTTCATTTTAAAAGAATCCTCAAAACAAAATTTACGAGACTCTTAGAATATTTTTTAGGACATATGCTTTTATTCAAACACAAATGCATAATTATAAAGGTTCCAATTTATTAAGTCACAATCAAGTCATTCACCTCATTCTACATATTAATCAGGACTCTCTTGGTTGCCAAGTAACAGAACAGAAAGTAGTTTAACTAAAAAGTGAGATTTACTGGTTGACACAACTGAGAAGGCTTCAACCACAGCTGGATCTAGGGACTTATATCAGCACCTGGTTTTGTATGTCCTGATGCTGTTCTTCTCTATATTGGTCCATTCCTGGGCAAATCTTCCCTGTGGTGGCAAGAGAAGCTTGTATCTTCACAGCTCCAAACCCAGGGGAAAAAGAGAGTTATGCTTCTCATTCAACAGAATTGCCTCTGGTTGAATCAATGAAATGTCCATTCCTAAGGCCAGAGGAATGTTCATTGTGATTATCCAGGCATACAACATGGATACACATGGATTAAGAAAAGGTTTCTTGCTCAAACAAAAACATCCAAGACCAGGTGGCTTAAATAATAAGCATTTACTTCTCACAGCTCCACAAGTTGGAAATCCAAGATCAAGAACTGGATTTGAGCTACAGTCTGGTGAAGATGAGTATCTTAGAACTGTTATGATCATTAATGATGACATGAGAATATCTGCTACATGTAAATACCCTGAAAACTGTTCATGTTTAATTTTCTTTCACTTTGAAAGATAAAAGCACAGGTCTAATACATGTACCAACAGAACCCAACAAGACAGGAGAGGATTTTGGGTCTTCCTAAAATAAGGGACCTTGGGCCTAAAAAAGAGAAATGCAAATAATCTTGTTAAGTGAGAAAAGATAATGGTTTTCATCAAAAAGAACTAATAATATCAATTATTTCCTACGTATAGATGTTCATATCCTGCTGCTGCTGCTAAGTCACTTCAGTCGTGTCCGACTCTGTTCGACCCCATAGATGGCAGTCCACCAGGCTCCCCCGTCCCTGGGATTCTCCAGGCAAGAACACTGGAGTGGGTTGCCATTTCTTTCTCCAATGCAAGAAAGTGAAAAGTGAGAGTGAAGTCGCTCAGTTGTGTCCGACTCTTCGCGACCCAATGGACGGCAGCCTACCAGGCTCCTCTGTCCATCTATATGTAATATTCATGCTGTGCTGTGTGCTTAGTCACTCAGCCGTGTCTGACTCTTTGTGACCCCATGGACGGTAGACTGCCAGGCTCCTCTGTCCACGGAGAGTCTCCAGGCAAGAATACTGGAGTGGGTTGCCATGCCCTCTTCCAGGGGATCTTCCTGACCCAGGAATCGAACCCAGGTCTCCCGTATTGCAGGTAGATTCTTTACCAGCTAAGCCACCAGGAAAGCCCAAGAATACTGGAGTGGGTAGCCTGTCCCTTCTTCAAGGGATCTTCCCCACCCAGGAACTGAACCGGGGCCTCCTGCATTGCAGGAATATTTAAGTATAAAAGAAAAGGGATTATCTAGGAAAAGCAGAGTACTAACCAACAGCTGTGACAGGTGTGTTCATGTTCAAGTATATAGGCATCAATCCTGTGATTGAAGAAAGTGAAGAGTGAAGAAAACAGCGCTAGATTACCTCTACAAAATAGGTCAGGAAAATGCCCATCCCGCCAGATCACTTGGTCGAATTTCCAAGCTGTTGGTTTCTCCCTCTAGCCTATAAAAGTACAAAAATACAGGTTATTCCCCTCAAAAAATCATGATTAGATACATTCTTAAAGCCAGATAAAAGTTACAACAGTTATATCAAAATGTGCTAAGTCAGACAAAATTCTTTCCATGGATTAAATAATATTAGTTCACTTAGAACAGTGCAACTGTAATGACCCATCAGTGTTGAATGATTTCATGAAAAAAGGACCCAGGCATTAACTGGACTTTTTCAAATTTAACTTCTAGCTAAGGATTAGGATTTCTTTAAAATCGGGGCAATAAACTAGAATTACCATAAACAACTTAAAATAGGAGGACACAAAATGTACTTCACTAAAACCGTATGTTGATGTTCTCAATTACTCAAACAGTTCTATTCCTGATGAAATCTCACAGTAACATTTCCCTCATCTCAAAAGTCTAATTATATTAAAAACATATTTGCTTTTGAAACTACAAAAATGTTAAGTATTTAAAATTTTCAAGACAAAGGTGTTTAATAATGTTAAAATCGTCCACAGATTTTTTAATGCCATGCTATAATCAATCTTTTAGCAACTAATATAGAAAATTAACACTCTATGTTGGTACTGCATTGATACTGGACATATATAATTTTTTTCCTGCAACTGGGATATGCTTTCCTGGTATATGAAATGGGAGGTAATGAGGACTAAAACCTGGAATTTTATTAGAAACAAAGAATAGGCCAAATATAACCTTTCTTCAGAAATAATTAAGCATTTTATATAATAACTCAAACACATTTTTAGTGCTTAATATCTTGCAAATCAATAAAATTATAATTATAAAAGCAGAACAATTTAACTCTAAATCTTCAGAAAACAACCAAGTACATTAATTCAAAGTTGTGTTTAACACAATTTCATCAAGGGATTACCACAGCCTTTCTGATAATTCAGCATTTTCTAGTCCTTAGCCAGTCAGTAGCTTTGTTGCTAAACTAGTCATCATCAACAACAACAAAACCTATTTAAAATACTTTATTTCCACTAACCTCTTAATTGCCTGCCTCAAAGTTTTGTTCCCAAGCATTTAAAACAGCATATATGCCATTCCTCTCAATTACCTAAAACTACTTTTAAATATGTATTTTCTATAGCATTAGTACCAAAAAGATAAAAGCCATAGAACTGTATTATCGTAGTAGACAGTACTAAAAATACAAAAAGTAAAACAAAACTATATCTGCACTACATTCCTATTCACCATTGTACATTCTTTACTAAATTCAACTTTTAGAATTTCTAACAGTTCACAGGAATAAAGTTGAACAGAAAAAGCATGGTAAACTCTATCTATATATTACAGTAAATAAAAAATTTTCCAATTATAAGCTTTGGTATTACAAGTCTTTTAAAGTTGATAGGATATATCAAGTGAACAACCAAGATGTTATTACTTGTGTCATCATATAACAATGGTAACATATACAGCTGGACAAATGTTTTTGAAATGCTAATACACTGTTGAAAACATTTTCACAAAAAGTCTACTTTCCTGCATCACTTTTCGTTGAAAGCCCTAAATTAAAGCTGTCACATGTCAAAAAAAAAAAAAAAAAAAGCTGTGACACATCAAAAACTATAACTAGATATGTTAAAAGAAACAAAAATAGTGAAGCAAGAAGGAAAGGGAATCATGTTTCACTTCCAAATACACACATCCCCCAAATGTACAGAATAATATAACCTAAAAGTCTAAATCTATAAACACAAATTTTGGAATGTCTTTCCCATCACAACCTTTCCTACCATGGAAATACACAATTTTCCCTAACTCACAGACCACACAGTCTGTGTCTCTAGAAACCTAAATTATTTAGCATCATCTACCAATTTCACTTCTCCTTCCAAGTGTCTCTATCCCTTTCTCCTCTACCACTCCTCTCTCCCAAGAATTAGGAAAAGAATCTACCAGGCCGGAAACTAAGACCCTGTAAATACAAAAATAAAGGTATAAAGTTACTTGGACAACCACCTAATGATCAGGTAAAGTGAAAGTCACTCACTCATATCCGACTCTTTGCAATTCCGTGGACTATACAGTCCATGGAATTTCCAGGTCAGAATACTGGAGTGGGTAGCCGTTCCCTTCTCCAGGGGATTTTCCCAACTCAGGGATCAAACACAGGTCTCCTGCATTGCAGGTGGATTCTTTACCAGCTGAGCCACAGGGGAAGCCCAATGATCAGGTAAGATCTTCCTCTTTCCGGGCACCACTTCCCCTACTTATAGAGTGAGTGAATATTCCTGCTTAGCACCTCTTCTGATTTAAGACTCTGCTGGCTAATTATTCTGTGATTATAATCACTTGCACAGGTATAATCAAATTAAGACAAAACACATATTAAGAAATAAATTAAATTTCTTGCAAGGACGATTAGCTACTACCCTTCTACGGTATTTCAATGTATTTACCAGTAGGTCATTAATCAAGACATTTCTGTCATTAATTGAATCAACATTTTTTATTTCTAAGATTAACATTAAGATTTCTAAGACACGCATTAAAATACTGTGGTCTCTTCCCAAAGGAATTCCTAATCTAGCTTGGACAGTAAATAAACATACAACAGATTATGTTAGTGATGATAATGCAAAGTGTTAAGTGCTATAACTGAAGTCTAAGCAATTTATCACAGCAAAATCAAAGCAGGGAACGATTAATTCTCCCTTTGTTACTTTTCCAAAAGAGAAGAAGTGAACCAACATAAAATGTCAGTTCCACATTTAAGAATACAATGAATAGTATTTGCTTTGGACTTTGGTCAATAATGTTGCTACATCTCTGCAGATACTAACTCAATTAAAAAAAAAATATGATGTGGGTGCTAATATTATTTACATTTTAAAGAAGAAAAAACTGACCAAAGGTTACAAGTAACTCACCAAAGGTTACAAAACTAGTAAGTGGCAGAACCAAAGCCTTCATAATGGTCTGTGGCTCAGGCGTAAAGAATTGCCCTGCCATGCAGAACACTCCGGTTTGATCCCTGCATCCCTTGGAAATCCCATGGAAAGGGGAGCCTGGTGGGCTACAATCCATAGGTCACAAAGAGTTGTACACAACTGAGCAACTAAACCACCACCACAACCAGGCTCCCCAAAATCTACTGTGCTGACCCCTCCTGTTCCTCATCACTACTACCACCACCAGACCATGATGGCTTTAAGAATCTGAGAGGAAAAATGCTTCAAGTTCTTTAGCATTTTTAATTAAATCACATTTGAAAGTATTCAAATTCTACTTTTACATTAGTTCTTAGTTTTATGACTTAATGATACTTTCTGAACAGTGCTTAAAAAAAATAGTAAAGGAAAAAACTTTGTTTCTATGAATACGTTTAGAATTTCGACTCAGTAACAAGGTAGATATATGTGTTCTTTTAATTTACACCACCTGCTTTGAAAAATTCATTTATAAGACCTCAGAGAGTACTTTTCATGACCAGATCTATCCTGAGGAAAGGAAACCCCCCAAATTCAAACCTACTTCCCCAGAAACTACCCTAACCAAGTCTTTCTAGAATGATTTTCCATTTCTACTTTCACCAAAAATTAAGCCTAAATCTTAAAAATTTCACAATCAATGTAGTGAATCCACTTGGTTAAGAAAGAAAATCCTACACACACAATTACCTGGGAAGGGACTATTGTTTGTCTCCATTCTACATATGATGAAACTGAATCAATTTACACTCCCACCAACAGTGCAAGAGGGTTCCCTTTTCTCTATATCCTCTCCAGCATGTACAATCTGTATATTTTTGATGATGGTCATTCTGACTGGTGTGAAGTAATAGATACCTCATTGTAGTTTTGATTTGCATTTCCCTAATAATTAGTGACGTTGAGCATCTTTTCATGTGTTTATTGGCCATATGTAAGTCTTCTTTGGAGAAGTGTGTGTTTAGGTTTTCTGCCCATTTTTTGACTGGGCTCTTTGTTTTTTGAATATTGAGCTGTATGAGCTGCTTATATACTTTGGAAATAAATCTTTTGTCAGTTGTTTTATTGGTGGAAATGTAAGTTGATATAGTCACTATGGAGAACAGTATGGAGATTACTTTAAAACTTAGGAATAAAACTACCATATAACTCCCACTACTGGGCATACACCCTGAGAAGACCACAACTGAAAAAGACACATGTACCCCAATGTTCACAGCAGCCCTATTTACAATAGCTACGATATGGAAGCAACCTAGAAGCCCATCAACAGATGAATGGATAAAGAAGATGTGGTACATATACACAATGGAATATTACTCAGTCATAAAAAAGAAAAAAATTTGAGTCAATTCTAGTGAGGTAGATGAACCTAAAAACTGTTATACAAAGTAAAGTAAGTCAGAAACTGAAAAACAAATACTGTATATTAACACATAAATATGTAATCTAGAAAACAGTATTCATGAATCTATTTGTAGGGAAGGAATGGAAACACAGATTTGGAGAACAGACTTGGGGACACAGTGGGGGAAGAAAAAAGAGGGACAAACGGAGAGAATTAACATACACACACTACCATGTGTAAAATGGAGAGCTGGTGAGAAGTTGCTAGATAATACAGGAAGCCCAGCTTGGCTTCCAAATTCTGTGATGACTTTGAGGGATGGAATGGGGAGAGGGGAAGAGAGGCAGGCTCAAAAGGGAGATAAGATATGTATAAATATGGCTGATTGGCAGTGTACAGCAGAAACCAACACAACATTGAGAAGAAATTTTCCTTCAATTAAAAATTTAAAAAAAAAGATCATGAAACAGGTTAAGTACCCATGGTTACACAACACTTAACTATCATGGCAAAGAATTCAACCAGATCTCCTGCACCCAAATAAATGTTTACTTTAACATAGCACAATAGGAGAGGTCATTTCCAATTAAAATATATTTAATGTTACTCAACAATATTCTGGGAGTCAAAAAAAAAAAAAATAAACATCTTTGAAGTAAGGATAAGATCAGTGAAAATAAAATT